GTTTAACATTAACCTGCGTGGTATAGTTGGTTATCAGATCTGTTCCTAATACTTCCATTTCTAAAATAGTGTCTCTTGATTGTGCTGTAATTCTATAGCAATTATGTTCTTGTTCTTTTGATGTTACTCCACTAAAGAGACCAATGCTACTTTTTCAGTTCCAATAATGGGCAATTGCAATTTTGTCGCGACTCTACTAATTATATATGCTCTCTGAGATCTCGAATCTACAAGGGCTTGTACTTTTACGGACTTGTCCCCATCTTCCTCTAATTGGGACTAAAATTGTTGGCAAAATCGTAGCAACTGACATAACTACAGAGTTTGAAGATGTTTCCTTTTCCTTATTTTCGAATTTTTCAGGATTCGGTTGCACTTCACTCTTATTCTCTTCTTGTGGAACTCCTCTTCCAGTCGAATAGAAACGGTTTACAGGAGTAGAATCTCTTCTGACAAACAGGGCAGTTTTCATTCATTTTACAATCTTTGAGGGTATGTCCTTTTACGGTACATATAAAGCATGCTTCCTTCTTCAATAAAATAGCCTTCTTATCGTCTATTTTCATCCTAAGCGCCTTCCTGCAGTTTTTTCCTTTATGTCCGGGTATTTCACAAAAAATACAAATATTTTCAAAGGTTCTTTCTTTGGTATGTAGTACTTGAGCTATGCGCGTTCGTGTCGGAAAAGGGTCAAAACATCGAGAAGCTAATTTCACCCTCTGTTCTGTATCAATTCCTTTTTTCAGGAATCAACTAATGGGGTAATTATAGGAGCACAATTTTTCATGTTAATTTGCAAACTTTCTAGAGAACGTAATGCTGTCTCAACCTTATCATGAATTTGAAGAATATCCTGTCTAGATTTCGACTGTCGTATGCAAAGCTGCAACAAATCTTTCGTGTACAGTTCGCCTAATAAATCCTGGTTTCCGTAATGTTGTTTTAGGGAATTCAAAGCCTTAGGATAATTTTCAGAAGTTGGCGGGAATCCTAAAACTAATTGTTTCGCAGATCCTTCCAGTGCCTGCACCAGATACTGAAATTTCTCTGCGTCGTCCAAAGAAGCTGTGTCGATCTTTTCAAAGTGAGCCCACCAGCCGAGCCGCTCCTCTAATTCTCCATCAAAAACTCGTAAATCTAGCTTAAGTAACTTAATTCTACCTACTTCAGGTACATTCGATACAGTAACACCAGCGGATGTGATTTCACAACGCGTATTCAATAAAGTGCAGCGGTATATTTATTCTTGATAGTGTTGCGCGCCTTCGGCTTCGGTTATTAGAACTTCTTCCGAATCGTTGGACTCGACCATAAGATTCATCATTTCTTCATCCATTTTCGCTAATTCTTCACCCTTCATTTTCAACGAATGAATCTTTGTGTCAAACTGATCTCTGATATCTAGCGCCAATTCAATTTCCTTAATAGTCTTTGTAATCATTGCTCGCATTGGAGCGCGCTTCCTGCTAAGGGATGCTTGGTTCATCTTTCCTTCGTTTTCTTGAGATTGCAAGGTCTATATACACGGTCGCCAATTATGTGGTTTCGGACTTAAAATAATAGGTAATGAATTCTTTTTTTCACTACTAGCGTCTGATGACACGATTATTAACCTTTTTTCCACTTGTAAAGTAGGCTTTCTCGGCATTTGTTCAAAGTGGTTAATAATGTGGACATTATTAACTAGTAGTCAATAATGAGAACTGTCACGCTGTCACTTTTAGAAAACACAACCCGAAATTTCGCTCAATAAACGTTTGGAGTTCTCTAAAATGAATAATTGTCACCATCCGCCATTTCCAGAGAAATTACATACCTAAAATTATCACATTTTGAAAAAATTCGAACGAAATTACTCTTTGAAAATATCTCAATGACAGAACCAAATACGGCCTGTTTGACTTGTACTTCTACGTACTTGATTGACATGTTAAATTAATAAACAAGAAATTCTGTCCAACCGTTCATTTTCTTATCAATATTATATGTTAATTTACAGGATTTCAGGTGCTAGTAGTGAAAAAAATAGTATATATATATACCACAGTAGAGAAGTCTATTATTGCCTTCTCACCTTACACCCCTCGGCGCAAGCGCCTCGAGATGTAATCTTGGTGCTCAGGCAATAATACTGTACTTCTCTACCTTGATATATAATGTACTATTATTAAGTAGTTCTGTCACGGATTATGTTCAAATCGTTTTATTTTCTTTTCTGTCAAAAATCACAAAATTTCTAATCTGACATTTTACAAAAACAAAAAATTCATCACACTTCAATAATAAAATCAATTCATCCTTTAAACATACCTACACAAACACATTTTCCAACAAACAGTGGGCTCGTTCATAAGACACAACAGTTACCGCTACGCTACCTCGTAGCGTATCATCGGTAACAGTTAGGGACTTATGTCACGTTCCCTACTTTGACATATGTAGCGCTACTAAAAATGGCCGACTGCTCCTTAAAGATATATAATATCATCAGACATCGGGATATAAAGAGAGAGGTTATGGCTCGCACATTCTTTTTTGAATGTTGTGCAACACTGTAAAGCCATCTATTAATGAACCCGAGCACAAGTAATACAAACTGATAACTCTTAATGCAATGAATTATTCTGATGGCTTGTGAAATAGTCAATAGACCAGATTTGTAGAGCTTAATCTAAGTACGAGTACAGTAGATCAATGAAAAAAATTATTCGATGAACACATGAAAGTGAATGGTAGATCGTGTAGAGACAGCAAAGTGGTTACTAACTTACCGTTAGAATGGAAATTAGAGCAATTGCAAGAATATGTACATTTAACCGACAATGAAGAGTGGCCGAATTTTAAATCGAAGTAAATGTTATAACCAATTAGGAATTTTCCAACTTTACTAGAAGTAATGTAATGTTCAAAGAAATAACGTAGGTAGTAGACTTTTCCAGTTTAAACTCGAAGGGTTATCGAAAACTTATATTTCCAAGGAATCTGTTTAAAGTAATACTTTAACTCTTCCATTTGTATTGATTGAACAACAAACGTAGCCATTCTCCGGAATTGTCAAAGTTTAGTCCATCAAATTGGGAACGGCCTTGCCCTAAGTACGCAAGATAAGGACAACCTGCCAATTAAGGGAGCTTATCTGGATTCTGTCGAACAATAAAAGTAGAACTATTGCAAAAATTCTCTGATTCGACAAAAACAAAGCTTCTCCGGCTTATTCAAATCCAATAAAATAATTTTTCAAATCCGCACTGCTCCGTCTCCGCAATTAAACAAAATTCGTTTGATATTGTATATAATTAGAGGACTTCAAAGGGAAACTTTGCAAGTATAAGCCGGTTTTCACTTTACTAAATATGCTAATTTGTGAGGATTTAAGAGTCGTTGTCGACTAGCTCCTTTCCGTTACAAGTACCGCTCCAGACGAAAACGGAAATAACTTTTCCGGTTGAAATGCGATATACTATTCCGATCCAGGTGACTTGAACTCCTTGTTATTACGCCCACATCAACACGCAACTTTAATTTTATGTTAATGGGTCCGCTACCGATAGGGATGAAATTTACACCTTAAGTTATCTTGGTTATTATCATGTCATTCGATATTTTCGGAAACCGGAAATGAATAACACTTTCCCACAATATGGACCGAAAGTTTACGTTAACAAGACTTCGACGACAATAGTCAAGTTTGTTGATAATAGATATTCTTATGTAGCATTTATAAATATGTAATGGAAAATTATCTGTACACATTATAATGACGTATATTTTACATAAAATCAACGGATTTTTGTGAGTGTTATAGTCATAGTTACGGATAAGTTTCTTATATAACAGTGGCACATTCCTCACCCTCCTTTTGCAATTTTCTAAATAAATTATCGAATGATATCTACCTTATTTTGAAATAAATGGGAAATTGGTTGTTGACATCTAATATGTCCATAACGGGGCACCTCACCTAGCACCGCACATAGCCTGCCACATAGCATTGCCCCCTAGTTTTATTCCATACGGGTACCCTGCAAAAGACAAGAGCATTCCTTTCTATGCACCAAGCTTCTAGAATACTAAGCTCGATTTCTCGTTGCGGGGTTTGCGTGGATGCTATGTGGGAGCCGAAGGGCGAGGCGTAGTACCTAGTAATGGCTAAAGGCAAAGCAAGAGAATGAGTTACCTGAATTATTAATCGTTTGCAAGACATTAAACATTTTACCAGAAAGGCATAATAATTTCAAGTCCAGCTGGATGTTGTTAAAGGGAGAGGAGAACAGAAACTGTGATGATCCGACCCCTCAGCTATGTTCGCACGAGAGGAACTAGTAACTAGTATGCAAGAACAAGGAAGTGCATCATAAGAGGCACTTGCAAAGGAAGAATAATAAAAGCAACTACTGCAAACAGCCATGCCATTGGGTGAGTTGTTGAACTTGATGATTCGGTCGATGTCGAATCTTGGAATTTTTTTCTACGACTCAGAAATTGTCGATACCATCTGCCCACGTTCTGGTGCTTTGAAATCTGCAACCCTCCGCTGCAGTCTCCTCGAATAAATGAACTCCAGTAACTTGATTTTTATTTAAATCGTCACCACGGCTCCTATGTCAAATTAAGAAAACAACGCTAGCGATAACACCCGCAAACGATAAACAAACGCGAGCTGGAGAGTTGGTCCTTTAATAGTAAGTAGTTCGTGAACCCTTTTAACTGCGCATTACTGTGATTTAACTTTTTAGGAAATTATCCACTCCGGTATACAAGGAGGGACCCAAAACTAACGGGAATTGGGCTGCAGGGGGAGGAAGAGTGGGGGAACCAATATTGTTCGATAAGGTGTCCGTTAGCGTCACGCCTCCTGAGTCAGTGCGCGTAGTTTGCGTGGCTGTGAGTGCATCGGTTCGCCCGTAAGAATTTTTTCAGTAAAATAACTTTCTATTTCGTCGAAAACGTGATGGCAGATTGTCTTCCTGTTGCGGAAATCGGCCACGGAAGCTATTGTAATGCTTAAGACTGCTTATGGGGATGCTGCCCTAAGTAAAACCAGAGTCTACGAGTGGTTATCACGTTTTAAAAATGGGGAAATGGCAATTGAAGACCAACCTCCTTCAGGTAGCCTCACCACAACGTCAAGAAATGACGAGACGTCGACGAAATCAATGCTCTTGTCCGTGAAGATCGTCGCCGAACCATTGATCAACTTTGTGAGATGTCTGGAATCAATTCAGAGGATTTTATCCGAAAATTTGCACATGAGAAGCGTTGCAGACAAATTTATCCCTCGCGTCCTCACAGACGAGCAAAGGGAGCGTCGACTTCAAGCATGTTTGGAGCTTCAAAATCAGCTCAAGGAAGACTCCGAATTTTTTTCCAAGGTGATTACTGGTGACGAATCGTGGTGCTACGGACACGATCCCGAAACAAAATAGCAGGAGAGCCAGCTGTCTTCCACTGACTCGCAGTGGAAGACAGCTGGCTCTCTACGTCCCAAAAAAGCTCGCCAAGTGAAATCAAACATCAAGACAATGCTGATTTGTTTCTTCGATTGCAGAGGTGTTGTGCACGCGGAGTTCGTTCCCCCCAGCCAAACTGTTAACCAGAAGTTCTACTTGGAAGTTTTGAGAAGATTGAAGGAGAGTATCCGGAAGAAAAGGGCAGATCTTTGGGACACACGCGACTGGTTCTTTCATCATGACAACGTGCCGGCCCACACCGCCCTCTCGTAAGGCAGTTTTTGACCAAAAACGGCATGGCACCGATTGTCCATCCTCCCTACTCACCGGATCTAGCCCTGTGATTTTTTTCCCCAGACTCAAAAAGGACACGAGAGGAAAGCGTTTACCACTGTGGAGAAGGTAAAATCAAAATCGCTAGAAGCCTAAAAAACATCCCGATAAGTGAATTTAAAAAATGCATTGAACAATGGAAGGATCGTTTGAATAAGTGCGTTGTAATCAATGGGGAGTACTTTGAAGTGATAAAAATTTGGTATAAAAATATTAAGAAATAAGGAAATTATGATGAAATTCCCGTTTCTTTTGGCCCCCCCCCCCTTCGTATTTGCACGTAAAAATTTCTTCTGCACTGAGCGATACAATTAGCTGGCAGTAACTTGAAATTTCACCCGCTTTAATTTATTGATTTGGTATTATTGTCCTAAAACGACATTAGTTTTAAGGCGCCTTTACGATATTTTGAGACATTAAAATGGCGCGCGTTAAAAACTTGCGCTTACCATGCGAGTTCCACGACTTAATTTGCACTGACCAAAATGTACCGTCCTCTCTCTACCCGCTGCACATTTACACCTTTCACCGGCCAAAGTACATTTCCTCTATTCTAAATTTAAACTTACAACAAAGGATACGTTTACATAACCTAATATACATACATTATATACAGTTAATTACAAAATTTCATTCCTTGATGCCCAGACCAAAAGCATTATATGGGGCAAATGAAAATATTCACCCCCACACCCACTACAATAAGAAACAATGAATTTTATAGATAAGAAACGAGTATACATGTATTTTAGAAACGGTTTAAAAATATCAGGGTTATAAAAAGGTTTACTACAAAGATTGTACAATAGACGATACTTTCAACAAAAGAAGAAGTAAGTGGAAATATGCTTCGTGCTTGAAACAACTACGAGTATGTAGCTGTAGTAGTAGCAAGCGCCAACTTTACTTTGAACACATTGTATAGAATGTTTGGCCCATACCTTTAGGAGATTCTGTACAGGTATGGGATTGGGTGCCCTTTTCCCTGCTTCAAATTAGGACGCGTTCTTCCACTAACTTACACTTCAATTTACATGGTATGTTTTACAAAATTTAATTTATGAAAAAACGTCAAGGTCTTATCTCCTAAAAACTACAATTTTACATAAACGTAAACCCTGTCACCCTTGATCACAATCACAAATGAATTACAATAAAATATACGCACACGGTGGTAGCGTGGCAGCATACTTGACAGTTGCATTCCATGGACATTTGCACCCGCAGGGTTACCTGTCCATCCAATGTACTAAATGGTCTGGGGTCTTTGGGGTGATTAATTTGCAGATTACTGCACTATTCATATGTCGTAAGCTGATGAGTTGATGACGTTCATTGAGCCTTATAAAACTGTAAAGCTATGAAATCATACCAATCTTATAGTTTGTGCAAATTAACTGGCCCACTAAACATCGAAATTTATTTAAAATTAGATTCCAGTAAATTGTAAAACGAATTGCGCTGGTGAATGAGTAACGCCGAGTTTAGCGTGAAATAATTAAAATCACTATAGCCGAAATTTACATTTTCGGCGGGGCCGGGCGAATTTTAGTTACAGCGGGGAGTATAGACACGAATATTCAATGCATAATCATAATTAAACAATCTGAGTCCGGCATTTCTACTAAATCTACAATCAGAACGGGTACGTTGCGCTTTTATCTGGAAACATCGCTGTAGGGCCGGTAATGGCTAGCATTGTGCGACTAATTTATGGCTCAATAACGCAGCGAGAACCGGGAATTGAACCTGTAGGTAATGTTGATAATCTGTACTCAAGCACAACCAATCCTACACCCTCTTACTCTCCATTATTTTCACATAATAATGCAAAATGTTATTAATTTTTGGATATAAAAAGAGAAGTAATTTTGGACGCGAGTAAATTAGTTCAATGGAAACGGTGCAGTGTCCGCGAATTTAAGCGGTCAAGTAGCACGTCGGTCATTAGTTACTCTTACGACCGGAATAACATTGTATAAATCTTTAGTAGGAGGAAAACAGAAAAATATCGACGTTGGTTTATGGTTCATCTCGCATGAAAACTAACTCAAAACTTCTATCGTTTATGATCACAAGAGCCATATCTACTTGGTTTCTCAGCAACATTTAGAGCCAATGGGGGTTTACAGTATAGTTGAATTCCGCAGTTCTAATTTAATAAGCGTGTACCTGAAACCATAAAACATTTTTTTGGATAGTAAAAGTTTATTTAAAAATAGAGGCTGATTAGCAAAAAAAATAATGAACATGTGCGGTTTTAAAGGTTTATTCAAAACGATATGATTGTGGCGGGCTCTGTGACGTAATAACCCCGACCAATCAGCTCCTAGAACCATTCAGATGACATAACGACTTGGCAATATTGCAGGAGAATGGCATTTATAACTTGCGTCATCTGTCACAGACACTTGTCACTTTCGTGCTAGATGCAGTTAAACATCCCTCTCAAAACTTCAAATGTGACAAACGTCAGACCCTCGCGTAAGGTTGCCAGCTCACTTCTACGTGATTGGTTGTAGGTTTCTGACGTATTTAGTCTGAAGCGTTTCAAATTCGGACTAAAAACACATCTTTTCAATAATTTATTTTGGGTTTATTTTACTCGCAAATAAAAATTGAGGACACACGGGTCTTTTTATTTTTAATGTACTTTGTGGATCAGAAATAAAAAATGAAGGCGGGATGACCCCATTCACATTATTTTTCTTTTGCTAATTGATTTATCCAGTTTTGACATAAGTATTGTTGTACTTGTCCAAATTCTTGCTAGAGAAGCATTCGGGTTTCCCTTGTGATACCCTCAGTCCACACCACGGTGTATTCTATCTTATACCGTGGTCCACACTAGGTTTTAGCATTTAATTTTAAAAGTTTTTGGTGAAACTAAGGATACGTATATTGAGGACAATGTAGAAAGAAGTGTTGAAAATAATCACATTTCTAGCTTTATTCGGTTTATTCGGCAATGCGAGATTCAATTGATTCATTGATAACGTCATCGCGCTCACATAGATGGCATCAAAAATAAAAAAAAGGTATCCTAACGAAGTGCTTGTTCAACAACAAAGTGCTACTGATATTAGGATTTTTCCCTAAAATCGACGGAAATAATAAATTAAATAAAGTACAATCAGTGGTAAAAGGTAACAACCCATAAGTTGGTGTAAGTAATCAGGTTTAATACTTTCTGACGTTTCGTAAAACATCACGGTTGGCATCTTCAGAGATGAAATGGCAATTTCAGTTTAAGAATGGGCGTATGCTTTCCCTTTTCTGTAGCACCCTTAAGTTTTTACTACTCTTGTTTTAGAGGTTGAATACTTATGTTTTATATCATTCCTAAAGAGAGACACGGGCCTCTTGTCGCGTTAGTATAAAGTAATCCATAGTCATCGTAGTGAAGCTTTTCAGTAGAACAGCGAAATGTAGAAAAATTAATGATTCTTTGATAAGAAAGGATTTAAAAATCTTTCTTGCGAATGTGGAGTATTCGAACGATTTTGCGTGACAAGGTAATGCTTTCGAATGCGTTGTGTTTAACTCCACTTAGACGTGCACCCGAAACTCCGAGCTCCGAAAGTATTGTCACGTGCTTCTCGTACAACTATAATTAATGCTTCGTTTTCTAGCGTACAAAGATATAAAATGGCAAAAGGGAAGAAATTATTATTGGAAAATGTCACTTTGATTTGTAGATTGGTGGAATTCGAGTGTAAACGTTGTCAGTATCCTTTTATATCCTATTGAGAGCTGCTCATGTGTCTTCCACAGCCCACTTCTCCAGAATAATAGCACAGTTCTGGGGTAGGATTTATAACGGTCTATTGCAAAAGTATTCTTTTTCATAAAAATCTTACTTCGGGGCTTTATTTGTTTTCGCCCACTGACGCATAATATTTAATTAAGTTGTCGACTTATTTCAATACTGTATATATTACGCTAATTAACACCACTGCAGGACTGTAATCATTCATTTGACTTGTCAATTACTTAAGCTGTTCAAAGGAGAAAGCTGAGCTTTAGAAGATGGGAATTATGTAATCTGGAAGTCACTCATATTTATTATGTTTATGAAATCTTAGTGCTATTTATTGAAAAGTAGACATACAGATTTACATATATTGTTTTGACCTGTCTACTTTTAAATGACAAAATCCCTTCTGAAGAGCGCCTAATTTTATACATCCAAAATAACATCTTAAAACAAATAAATATCGGGTTGTCATATTAATTAATTTGAATATTGTTGCTTTGGCTTTGGCTTTGGCAGTAAACCTCTTACGCTTCTTAAACTGTTACCGGCACTATACCAAATGGCAATAGTTTTCTTCAGTTGAATACATCACACACGACCAATAATGAAAATACGGAAGCCAAAACGACAATATTCAAGTTAATTAATATAACAGCCAGATCTGTTTTAAGAAGTTATTTTAAGTGCATAAAATTAGGCGCTTTTCAGTAGAGATTTTATCATTTAAAAGTAGACATAGGAAATCACTAATGTATCACTTGTTAATCCGACTGCTTTAACATTTTCGAATGTTGTTAAGTCCCTTCTGATTCAACAATCTCTCGCATAATGACTCCTCTTTTGGCAATTGTAGCATGAGGCAGGAGGCCTCCTCTTCGTTTCCTGC